CTCTTACTAAAGCTCCTCACTCCAGACTCAAGGCACTGAAATCCACTTTTCATACATTTTTTTCTGTCATATCTTAGTTATACAACCATCATATGCTAAACAGACATATGTAATGCAAAGATCACTCTCTTTACAAGCCTAAATATTAGCGAGACAGCTTTTTGTTCAGTGGAAGACATTATTGGGCTAGTAGGTTTTCAAAAATTAGTGTTAATTTCTTATAAGAATGTTCTGTTTTCCATTTATCATAAAGCTATTTCACGTAGGTAAATGTTTTAAAAATTAAACTTTAGGAAGAAAGACCTTCATTTCAGGGCACATCACAAATTAAGGTAACAAAAACTAAGATAAAGATTACACAATAATAATAAAACACTAAAGCAATTGATACTTACTTAGGTTAAAAACTTATATTCTATTAATAAGACATTCCACTGGCTTATGATTCATTTCCCCACTATTTCCATTGAGAAAACATGCTAGGTAGAAGGCTTTAAAGATTTGCTAAAAGTTAAAATAGAATCTTCTAATGCTGTGACATCTTCTCTTGATGTGTTATAAATAGGACAGATTTTCACCATTTTGGGATTTGTGGTTCCAATTATTCCTATAATAGTAAACCATTTTAATGACCTCCAAAGTATTATTTTGTCTTTTGTGACATGATCATTCATGTACAACTGTCAAATCAGAAAGGCAATTTAAATGCCTTAAATAAATTATCCCAATGAACAAACATTTATTTTTATTTTTTTAAGGTTTTTGCCATGGGGGCTACATGCACTCAGAGAGAGAGACAGAGAGATACACAGAGAGTGAAAGAAATTAATCACCCCCTAAGAGGGATGGCTACACTGCAATCCCCTCTTCCCCTCAGGATTTTGGACACGCACACACACATGTCCAATATGATTTTCAAGCTGCTAAGTCTGGGACTTGATCCATGGTTGGCCACGCGGGAGTCCAGAATCTTAACCACACCACCTGCTGACCCCGAACAAATATTTTAATGTAGAGAAAATAGGTAAACATAACTAAAACTTTTTTACTACATCTCTTCTGCCAAATGATTAGAGGAACATACAGACACATCTCACTGGTAACAGGAGGTGAAATGTGCTTTGGAGAAAGGAAGATAATGACTAGTGAAGAACTCCATCACATTCTGACTACAGCTATAGCATGTAAGGAAATGAGCACACCCTACTGCAAAATGCCTTTTTATATCGTATACTGACGGAAGAAAAACCTGTAGGAGAAGCCAGTTTAGTGACACTGGCTTTATGGACATAAAGAAAGACAACATTTCTAAGAGATCAATGAGTAAACAAGGTATTCATTCCAGTTACCATCGTCTTAACAATTGAACAAAATAGCAGATAAATCTATAGTTTTAGAGCACTCACCTCAATTTCAAAATCAGCATGAAGTACTACCTTCTCTATAGCCAACAACAAATACAGTCTAACTAGGAGAAGACAGATTTCTCCCCAACACCCAAAGCTGTGAATCAATAAACGTGCCAGTGACTCCTACCAGGTAAACATGTACTGGGCATTCTTTCAGTGGGAGGTGGTAAACTACCATTGTATTCTCAGTGTGAAACAATGGCCCATTTTTTAATCTCCTATAAACTGCAGATACAATGGATATAGTGTATGATTTTACTTTTTCCTTTTAGGATTAAATTTAAACTGTAAGAATAAGTTGCTTGTATCCAAGGCAATACAGAAATCCAAATCAGCTAGACTCAAACTTCGAACAAATTTGGCCTCCTCGATAATTTTTAGGGATATAATAAAGGAGTGAAACATGAAATCTTATCAATACTGAGTTAACTCTGTCTACTAAACATTCTAAAATGGAACAACATCCCAGCCTTGTGGAGGAATAAAGGACATTCAAATTATAATGGCAATGAAAGTTCACAATAAATTGAATTCTCTAGTGATGGCTAAAATGCATAATTTCTGTTAAAAAAATAATTTGGAGGTTCTCTGTTGTCTTTTTTTTTTCTTTTTGGAGAGGTTTTTGCTATAGGGCACGTGCGCTCAACAGAGAGATGGAAAGCGAGAAATCACCTCCCAGGGGGGATGGCCACGTCGCAATCCCTTCTCCTCAGTTCTCTTCCCGGGATCTTGGGCACACACGCACACATGCCTGGGCGTGAGTTTTAAGCCACCGGGTCCGGGATGCGAACCTCATTTGACTACATGGAAGTCCAGTGACATAGCCATTACGCTAAATGCTGGTCCCTTTTGTCATTAATTATATGGTATTTTGTGTTATTTTGGATATGTGAAGAAATAGGAAGAAATTTAAAAATGGAGTTATTGCATACAGGAAGGACAACATAATTTACTTAGGTAAAAGGAAGGTCACCCTTTATGTAAGTAGATGAGGAAAAACAAGACAATTCTGAAAAAGTAATTTTAGTACTTCCATAATCAGAAACACCTGCCCTACGAGGTATATAGACATTGATAACATCCCTGTTAATCACAGCGGAAAGCAACAAGAACCTAAGAACAAAGCGTTCTTTTCAGAATTACCAATGCCAAACTTAACAATCTTGTGATTTAATCATTTGGGGAACAGCTGAAGTTATATCTACGGGAATACAAAATAAAGATTATAAACCTCTGAGAATCAATCCATAAGACTAATATATTTGCTGAATTGTTCTGGCATTTGCTTGAAATTGGTAAATAATTTAATACAGCCAAAAGACAACCAAAGTAGATTGTCTATAATTCTGACATGCAAGCCATTTACCAATTTTTTAAATGTCTATTTTACAAGTATTATTATAGGGCTTAGTCACAATAGCACATCTCATAAGATGCTACTACTCAGAAAGTAGGGCCACACAGAGGGCTCAGGTTCAGTTCTCAGCAAAACCTGAAAGAACGGGCTGGGCACAGTGGTATAGAGGACCTGAGGTCCTAGCTGGCTCCCTCTCAATCTTGGTCTCTCTCTCATAAATAAATAAATGTTAAAAAAAAAAAAACATACTAAGGCCCAGCTGTGGTGGTGGTAAGGGCTGCTAAATGATACTGGAGCCTTATGAGATCCCAAATTGACTTGACGTTCCAGTTAGTCCTGGGTGGCTGGAAGCCTGGCAGTGCAATTGCAGTGCAATTGGTCTATCTGTTTTTCTCATGAAATAAGAAAGCAAATCTTTAAAAATACTGTTTTAGAAACATAAAACTTTTTTTTACATAATTTTTAATGGTAGAATTAGGAGGTATAAAACAAAATGAATCCAACAAAATGTGCCCAGTGGCTTCCCAACACACTTAGAATTAAATACAGAGATATGCCTTACCTGATGTGGCCCTAGGCTGTTTCTCACTACCACCTCTCCTCTTCCTCTCCCTCACAGCCCCCTGGCACTCAGGCTGGCAGCCTCTGTGCTGGTCTTCGGGCACACCAGTACTTTCAAGGTATTTGCTGCTCACTTTGGATACCTTCATTCAGATATCTGTTCAAATATCACCTCTCCAGAAAGACATCATGGCCACTCTATTTAGTGCAGTATTCTGTCATTGCCCTCTATCCTAGTTAATTTTATTTAACAACAATTTTTAAAAAATAGTTCATTTTACTTCTTTATTCATTTATTTTCATTTTACCGGAGAGAGGATGAGAAAGCAAGCTGCCAAATCTGGGACTCAAATCATGGTCAGCTATGTGGGAGTCCAGTGCCTCAACCATCATGCCACTTGCCAGCCACAACAGTAATTTTTAATAACAATTTTAAAAGATAGCACTTTGCATTGTATCAGTTTTCCGTTTTCTCCAACTGACCCCACTAAAATGGCCAGGGACTTGTTTTGTTCACTAACGAATTTCCAATGCTCCAAACAGTGCTAGCTACATAGGTAGGGCCCTCAGTAAATATCTGGCAAATGAATGAAAGAATAAGAATCCATTTAATCCCAATTTTGGATTGTGTATTATGTGTCAGGCATTCTGGTAAGCTGTAGATCCACAGATGATCTATTTTCATGAAACTCAGGAGAGGGTAAAGAGATAAATATGTAAATAAAGTATTACAGTTTGATGATATGAAAAGAGTAATAGAATTATTAGGAAGGGAGTGAAATTAAGAGGGGAGTGGTGAATTCTAACTAAAACAGATCTTTCCAGGTGTTACAGAAATGTTGCTTCTACAGAATCCTGAAAGCTAATCAGGTGTTGGTCAGACGGTTGTTCCAAGAAGAACATAGGCACTGAAATTTACTTCATCATACTGCATGCACATGACAGTATTGCTTTCATGTGAATGACATATACATCCTGAGGGTAGGAGGTAGAAAAGAACCATAAAAGTAGATGGTACGAATGTCATGCTTAGAATAGAGAGTTTTGTCCCACGCATAATACGGATATCCCACAGCTAACAGGAAAGTATCAGCATAGTTGTTGAGAAGAATCACCTAACGGCATTATAGAACTGAGACAAGGATGGTGGGGAAAATTTAACTGAAAGACAGAGAAAACCAGTTAGGAGGAAAGAAAATGAGAAAAGAGAATGATAATAGAGATCTTGGTGTTGGGCAGTACCAGTGGGAAATCCCATAGAGGGGACTGAGAAATGCTTGCAGGATACTAGTACTAAAGGATGGGGCAGAAACATGGAGCTCATTAGAACTCTGAAGAGAATCTGAAGGAAAGGAGCATAAGACAGAGATGGGGATATGTTTACAGATGAGAATAATGTGTAAAGCCCAAATATTACATGGACTAAAAACAGTCCATTGCCTCTTACTATTAGGCTATGATGACCGTAACCAAAGGTGTTTTGAGAAATTGACTTAGCAATTCACTTATGAAAAACTGGAAGATTCATATTAAAGAATTCGCAATTTCACCTAAAGTGTGATAACTATTATCTTTCCATATACATATTTATGTGTTAATATTTTTATGCCATGTAAGCACTCAGGGTAAATCAACAGATACCTAAATTAAAATACATACGAAATATTCCTTACCTGAATTTCTAAAATCATTCTGTCCATCTCTTTTTGTTGGCTGTCTATTATCTAAAACATAAGAAATAAATCAGTCTGAAACAAAATATTTTTTCAAAAACAAACTTTATTTTAAAGTACTAATATTTAGACTAAACAATTTTAAAAATTATTTAAGAAACTCATGTGTTGTTATTAGAGCTTTTGTGGACTTGGTTAATACTTGTGGTAATTTTACATATGTGACTGTAATTTAGTTCATTTTAAACCTCTTAAAAATGTATTGACAGCCTCTGGAATATTTTACTGAAAAATCTCATCTTTTTTGCGTGCCACAAAAACCTACTTAGAGAGGAATCAGGTACTTACCTTGTAAGGTGGAGTTGGCTACCTATAAACTTTCGCTAAGATGGCTATTTACAGATGTGCTCCTTTTTAGCAGAGGTTTTGACCCTGTATATGTGTGTTGCATACAAATAAATGTGCCCTGAATGTTTTCATCTTACTGATAACCTTTTTTACAAATGTGTTTCCAAGAAATAAAGATTATTCTTGTTTGTTTTTAAATAGAATAAAAGTTCAAGAAGCACAGGGAATTATAAGCTTACTAAAAAACGGTCTTTTTTAAACAAAAGTATTTACACTAAATATCAATATTATTTTAGTTGCATATGTATAAAACTGCAAAAGTCTTCCTCTAATTCTTGATAAACCTTCCTATAATGTATACAAAACAGACTTAGAATGTTTTAGAAAAGAAAATAATATCCTTTCATTTTGACTTTTTCTTTTTTCCAGAGAGATTTTTTTTGCTATGGAGGGTATGTGCACTCACCAGAGAGACAGAAAGCAAGAAATCACCCCCCCCCCCAAGGGGGGATGGCCTCTCTGCAATCCCTTCTCCTCCATTCTCCTCTCATAATTTTGGGCATGCACACACATGTGCCCAGTGAGAGTTTTAAGTTTCCAGGTCCAGAACTCAAACTGTGGTTAACTATGTGAGAGTCCAGCAAAGTAACCATTGTGTAACCTGCTGGTCCCTATTTAAATGTCTTTAGTTTGTTTTGTTTTGGTTTGTTTTATTCCTGAGAGGTTTTCACTATGGGGTACATGCACTTGCCAGAAAGACAGAGACAGAGAGACAGAAAGCAAGAAATCACCCCCCCCCCCAAGGGGGGATGGCCTCTCTGCAATCCCTTCTCCTCCATTCTCCTCTCGGGATCTTAGGCATGCACACCCATGTGCCTGGAGTCAGTTTAAGCCACGGGTCTGGGACTCAAAACACGGCCGGGTACATGGGAGTCCAGCCATTACGCCAACTGCTGGTCCCTGTCTTTAGATTGTATTTACCAAATACAAAAACTCAAACTAAAAACTCCTAAGGAATTAAATTTTAGCAAAAATATAAATCTCATAAAATAACTATAACTTATTAATCTAGTCAACACAGTACCAATTTCACATTTATCATCAAAGGAATCTACTGACCTTGCGAGCAGTCTCATTTTGTTCCCTGAGATTATCATTTTCATTCTGAAGCTGTTTTGCATCTAACATGGGAAGGCGGATTCCATCTTCAAGGCATCTTTCTACTTTTTGTTGCAAACTGTTTAAGAAAGACATAGTTAATATGAAGAAAATAAGTTGCATTTGTTAATTTTGGTAGATGAGTTTAATATAAATGATGTCCCTTCTTAGGGTCTATAACATTCTGAAATCAAGATATAATCAAGACCACAGAGAGTATATGAATGTGTGTGTAAATATATTGTTATATAAGTAAGAAGAGTCCCTAATTAGCTACAGACCAGAGTATACAACTGCTTATTATCTGACATCCTCAGGCCCCATGAAGTGCTTTATTACCCAGATCTAAGCACTGTGATCCCTGTTACTTTCCTCTCCCCTAAAAGCAGAGAGTTCCTTGATTAAGATGTCTGTGGTAAAGGGGCCAGACAGTGGCACAGTGGTAAAATGTGGCTCTATGAAAATGATAGAAGGGAAGGTTCTAGGTTTGCATTTGGAGACCTCCCTGAATACAAAAGATGAGGACAGAACATGAATTCAGACTCTAGTAGGGGTGCTGTTTCTCTCTCTCTGACTCATGGAAGAATTAAACAAACTTAAAAATAAAAGATGATTGGTGTAGAGACCCTAAGAATATGGATATACATCTTTTGCCTTTTATTTAAAGCTCAGCATAAGTTTACTTACAAGGACAGTGAATGCCTAAGTCAGTAGAATTACATTTCTCTTTTGTTAATAAAAAGAACAACAATCTAGGTTTATAAATCAATTTAACAGTTTCTCAGACTATCCATGGTGTAGAGTTCCATTTTAAGGAGTAAAAAACAAAAGGAAGTCTCTCTAGCACATTAAAAATGAAAGAATAAAAGAGAGAAGAAGGTACCAACCTTGAGAAAGAAGGAATAGTAATGTTTGGGTTAAAAGGAAACATATCGTTAACAATAATGGCCCAAACCAAAATAACAGTAGCAAGCAACCTAGGAGAGTTCTACTTCAGCTTGCAATGATCCTCAAGAGTGTAGAAGAGTCCTACTAGAAAGATTTCTTAAACTCTGGGTTTTGATATTTTCAGTATTTTTCTTCTTTTAAGTATTATGGCTAGCCTATGCTTTCTCTCTATTCCAAAATAAGAAGAAATGCCCTATCTAGACTGTGAACAAAGAATTGACAGTTCTAGATGGTATAACAGGGACTTCAGATACGTTTGTAAATAATGGCCCCAGAGATATTTTTATTGAGATTTGTTACTAATACAATGTACTGCTCTGTGACACACTTTTGTCATAAAAGTATTTCATTTTTCAGTGTATAGTGAAAAATAAAGTAAGTTTCTTTCCAAAACAAGGTCAAGACACTAAAATTCCATGTATTTATAACATTTCAAGAGAAACCAAATGTATTTAAAATATTAAATTTTCTGAATGCAAAAGAAATGTGCCAGCTATAAAGAGAGGACAATGTACTCTGACATGACAAAATACTAGGTAAGTGTGTGTGTGTGTGTGTGTGTGTGTGTGTGTGTGTATTTTCAGGTTATATAGCATGCTGCCTTCAAAAAGTAATAAATCTCTTAAATAGCAGAGGTACTTACTATTTGTTTGTTTAACTGCCAGAAGACATATGAGCTCAACAGAGAGAGAGAGGGAGAGGGAGAGCAAGAAAGTATTCTCCATTAGGACAAGGTAATACTGCAATCCCTTCTCCATTTTTCTATCCTATCAGGATTTGGGGCATGCATACACAAGTGCCCAGCATGTTTTTCAAGCCACCAAGGCTGGGATCTGAATTGTAGTTGTCCATGTGGAATCTGGCTATCTTAATTCCAGGTCACGGGGCTGGCCTCAGGTCTGAACTATTACTGCATTACTGGAGGTCTTGCCCACATTTCTTACTTAACTTTTCTTTTTGAATGCAAAGTTTTTGTTTCATTTATAAATTCCAAAAGTTTTTATATAACATAAATCAATAAAGTTAAATATATTATATCAAACAAATAAATGTAATGACATAATTCACAGTCACCTACATATCTAAAGTTCTTTTGGTAGTTAAGGATTATGAGAATTAAAAAAACTGAGATAACATTCCCGTTCCTTGAAGTCAAATGACACCACATGCATATAAGTACTGAATAATTATAGCTGGTCCTTTATAGCTATTTGAAATCAAGATAAATTTTCTTGGATGATATACTATCTCAGACAGTATCAAGATAAAGTCAAAATATGGAACATGTTTTCCGGACTGTACTATACTAAACCTTTCCAAATCAAGAATACTAGGAAACCAGCAGATGGTGTATGGTTATGTCACTGGATTCCCACATGGCCGACGATAGTCCAAGTCCCAGACCCGGTGCCTTGAAACTCACACCTGTATGTGTGTGTGTGTGTGCTCAAAATCCTGAAAGGAGAATGGAGAGAAGGGATTGACATCCTCCCTTGGGGGTGATTTCTCTGCTTTTAGTCTCTCTGTTTCTCCAAAGAGCGTGCATGCCCTATAGCAAAAATCTTTCTCTTAAAAACAAAACAAAACAAAAAACAAAACAAAACAAAACAAATTAAAGCTGCTTTTCTTGAAATAAAAAAAAATGCATTAAAAATACCTATTCGATGACTGCAGTAAGATATATAGCCCCAGCTAGGTGCTACTTTATAGGATGTCCATTCTACTCACTGAGGCTTATGCCTAAAGCTGGACTTGTGTCCATGAAATGTATGTATCAGTTGTGCTTGCTATGAAAATATTTAGATTAATTAAGATCTTTAGTGACTCAAGGAAATGTGGGGGAATAAGTATAGAAAGCAAACATAGATACTAGAGACAGTGTGGGAGGAGAGTGGGAGATGGCAGAGGGTAAGAGAAAGGGAATCAAGGATGGGAAAAAAAAGCAAAACATACAGGAAACAAGAAATGGAAAGTTATTTGTTGACAATAACATGTATGTTGATATACGTGCTTGATTGAGCCAATATACAGTGTATTCTGGATAGAAAATCTCACTTTGTATGCTGTAATGGTGTACAGTGAATGAATGTAAATAAATGAATTTAATTAAAAAAAGAAAAGAAAACAAAATGAAAACTATACTAGTTCAGTGTTCTCTAATAACCTAATAAAACTAAAAGTCTAAATAAAAGAGAAGGTATAAAAATCACATCAATACATAAAAGCACACAATGGAACAAAACAATACTCAAATTATTTTCAAGTGTTGCTAATTCCATTATTACATCAACACAACTTAAATTTAAATCTTAATGTTCTAAAAGAGAAAACAGATATATTATGCCTTTCCACTTTATTAATAAAAGTGTAAGAAAAGGCTATATGGTTGAGTTGGCAGAAATGAAGAAACTATTCTGAGCATAGACATTAGAGTATAAGATAGGTAGTTATAAAAAGGGAGATAACAGAGTAAGAAAGCAGAAAAAAAGGAGAAAAATAAAGCTAGAATCAAAACTATACAATGTTTTTTGGAGCTGAGATAAGGAGCACTGAAGACTGAATTGTTTTAGAAATCAAGAGACTTTCTGCTTGTTCAACCATTAGTCAATCAGTTTCAGTCATAGAAGGGATACAGAGGTAGAGCATTGACAGGATGGGGAGATGTGGTGTTATTGGTTGAAGATATTTTGATCAATGGGACTGGGGAGAGATGTTCACATATTGAAATGCTCACATTGTAAGCTAAACAATGTGATTGAATGTATATACAAAAATTAATTAATTTAAAAAAAAAGAAATCAAGAGACTTTCTGCGTTGAAATCCAAGAAAAAAGAACTAGACCAGGTATATTTAAGAAAGTTTAAGAAAGAATATTAACATGGAATCAGTTGGATTTTGATTTAAGCATGGAGAATGCACTAAGTTATGTAACTGATATGAACATGAAGAGAATATTTTTACATTTAGTTTCTTGTCACTTTTTTCCCCCAGAATTTTTATCTATTTATAGTTGATAATATTAAGGCTTAAGCTTTACAAAACAGAGGATACCCATCTATGCATTTAACATAGTTCTCAGGCTTTTCCAGAATTGCATATTAACTTATAAGCATAAATACATAAATTACACATACCAATCAACAACATTCACTGTAATACTAACTTCATAAAAAGACAGTCTCTTGAGACAAGATTTGTGAGTAAACCTGTAAGGTACATGCAAAAGTGCTCTCTCTGGTATTTGCAATAAGGTGAATGGTGAACAGGATGAGAAGATGGCATAATGATTATGTTGCTGGACTCTCACGCAGTCAACCACAGTTTGAGTCCCAGACCTGGCAGCTTAAAACTCATGCCAGGCACATGTGCTTGAGTGCCCAAGAACCTGAGAGGGGAATGAAAGAGAAAGGACTGTGGCATGGCCATCCCTCAGGGGGTGATTTCTCGCTTTCTGTCTCTCTGTCCCTGTCTCTCTAGTGAGCGTACACTCCCATAATAAAAATCTATTTTTTTAAAAAACAAAAAAGAACTGGGAGCCATTATTTCACTTTGACAAGAGTGCAGCCTGGGTATTTTGCTGCCCCTTTATTTATTTTTTGATAAATCTATCACATAAAGGGTTTGCACTGATTTTTTCACTCTTAAATTATGGGGGTTTATTTTGTTTTGTTTTGTTTTTTACCATTTTTATTTAAAACGTTTGACAAGACATTGGTAAGTTGCTTTGAATATTAAATTAAAACTCAGACAACCCGTTTCAATGAAAGTATCCATCTGGTTCATAATAGTACATCTTTAAAATGAGAATAATAACATAGTAACTATAAATTAATGTATTTCAAATAAAATGCTTCATGAAATTTATAAATAACTTAAAAATAATGTAAAAGGATTCTGAACATTTTCTTACCTCTGAACAGTAGTTACTAACTCTTTTTCTTTCTTTTTCTGGCATATTAACTGTGCCTCTTTATCTTGACACTGCTTTTTAATCTCTTCAAGCTTTTTTTCTGTATCTGTCAAAGTCTCTTGAAAATTTTTATTTTTTTCTTCTAGAACCTGCAGCTAAGAGGAAATATTTTATAATTCATAACATATGGAATATTAAATGTTTCCATTAAAATTGTTATTACGTTCTGGGGCCGGCCAGTGGCATAGTGGTAAAGGGTACTGAACTTCCACATAGCTGACCATGGTTTGAGTCCCAGAACTGGAGGCTTGCTTTCTTACTTTCCCTTTTTCTCTCTCTTGTTCTCTCTTGTCAAATTTAAATCAATACATAAAGTTAAATTAAAAAATTTTTGGAGAGGTTTTGCTATAGGGTGCATGCGCTCTCCAGAAAGACACAGACAGAAAGAAAGTGAGAAATCACTCCCTGAAGAGATGGCCATGCCACAATCCTTTCTCCTCCATTTTCCTCTCAGGATCTTGGGCACGCACACACACGTGACCAAAGTGAATTTGAGCCTCCAGGTCCGGGACTCGAACCATAGCAGACTACATGGGGGTCCAGTAACATAGTCATTACACCAACTGCTGGTCCCACAACATGATGTTTTTTACACAATGTTAATACAAATTACTTTTTAAAAGAATTATTTTATTATTTATTCTTATTTTTAATTATAGTTAAATATATGTAACATAAAATCTACCATCTTAACCATTTTTAACTGTATAGTTTAGTGGTGTTAAGTACACATACACTGTTAAACAATCAATCTCCAGAAATCATCTTACATTATTCAAACTCTATACCCTTTGAAGAACTTCCTATCTACTCCTTCCACTTCCTGGCAACTCAAATGCTTCTTTTCTATCTCTACAATTTGACTATTCTTGTATCTCATATGAGAGGAATCATACAGTATCTGTCTGTTTGTGACTGGCTTATTTCATTTGGCAAAATGTTCTCCAAGTTAAGCTATGTTGTAGCACGTTTCAGAATTTCCTTTCTTTTAATGGCTGAATATATATACCATATACCACCTTTTTTCATCCATTCATCTGTCCATGGGGACTTAGACTGTTTCCACCTTTTGGCTATTGTGAACAATGCTGTTACAAACAGGGCTGTACAAACATCTCTTCAGAACTCTTAATAGTATCTATTCTAAAAGGTATATGGTTGTATTATCTCATGTTTTGAAATCCATATTGCTCTCTGTTCCTGCTCATGTAACCTCTTATAGTCCTTAAATTCCTTCCTTGGTTTTATAACATAGATTAACATAAAATAAACACAGAATGCTATGTAGGTCTTAAGAGTATGCAGAACAAGGACATCCCAAGGATTAAGCTGATGATTCTGAACTAGGAGTGATATCCCTCAGTTCGACCAGGGGACATCTGGACATGTCTATCAACATATTTTGGTTTGGGTGAGAGGGGAAGGAGCAATATTATTGGCATCTAGTCGATAAAGGTGAGAAATGCTGATATAAAAGTGTTCATCTCCCAATATACAGGGCAGGCTCCTTTAAAAGAAACTTATCTGACCCCAAATATCAACAGTGCTGAGGTTAAAAATCCCTGGATTAGAAAAAACTTTGGGAAAAGACTGAGGAGTAGATTTAATGAATTTATAAATATGTTTCAAAGGTAGACTTACCCAAGTTGGCAGAAAGATTATGGACAAGGAATTGTTAACAAAGGAAAGTAGAAGACAAATCAGAGGAATGAATGGAAATCATAGATCAAGGATGACCAAGAATTTATGGAAAGGAAAAACAGCCAACAAAAGGTCTTGTTGAACCTTGGTGAATCCCAAGAATATTAGGAAAAGAAAGAGGTCCATGCATGTGTGTTTATGGGGCAGGGGTTTCTGAATGGTTTAAAAACCACTTTTTTTAGAGTAGAACACTAAATAGGAGAATTACCACAGGTTAATTAGGAAGGTAACCATATATTTATTGACAACAAGATCTATTTCTGCTTAAAGTTTCTGATTAAAGTTAAGCCCTACAACCAACAATTAACCACAGAGATTTAACTGATAACTAGCCACACATTTCTAAAATAAAAATTCTTAAATATAACATGTTTTCATGTCAGTTACAAGATAGGATTTGCTTCCTGTTACCTGTAGGCTCTGACACTGTACATCATCTAGTGTGGGAAGATCAGCCAGATACTTTTCCAATGTCTCAATTCTTCTCTGCTTTTCCTTGTTCTGTTCAGATTCCTTCTGGCATTTCTTTTTTAGGCTACTGATGTATCTATCTCTGGTTTTAAGCTAAAAAAAAATATGAATTTTCAGTAATTTTGAGACATTAAAAAATATCAAATATTCCAAACTTAGTCATAAATTATTAGGCAACATTTTCAGGGTATAGTGAAGACCATCACCAACTCAATTAAGATTTGCCTTATTTCATTCTAAGAGTCACATTTTTAAGCAAATTTTGTATCACTGAACTTGAGATTTTCTGCAGTATTCACCTACTTTTACAACTGATGCAATATATAGGTGGCAACAGTAATGTAGTTTTTATTGCCTGCATATCTGAAAATCTGACAAGACTTCTCGTATCTGTCATTTCAATAGTGTTATGTATATTTTGAAAGTACGTGCTGAGTTTAAATGATGACTAAAGTAGCCTTAAAACAGTTACACTCTAATTTGGTACTGAAAAGTTATAGGCACCCAGGAAAGTACAGAAACAAAGTTGTCTATAGGGTAAAATTTTAAAATCAATGAAGCAAGTATTCATCTCTCGAGGAATGACTTCAATTTCATCTCTTGAGGAATGACTTCAATTTCTTCTTTTTTTAAAAAAAATATTTATGAATTGAAAGAGAGACAGTCAAGAGAAAGAAAAAGGTTGAGTTTTTCCTTTCAAAGAGGTATAACACAATGCTGAGATCAGTCCTAGAAGGTAATAGGAAAGCCATGTTTAGAGTATTTTTCTATATTTCAAATTAAATTATTACAACAAAATGGGGTGGTGAGGAAATGTTTTCTTCTAGATTTTTTTATAAATCATTATTATGTGAGAACCAAAGTATCAACTATAGAGTTAAATTATCTTGAATTTCACTTCTAGCTTTTCAAAAACTTCTAGTTTTTGGACAAGTATTTGGACCAGTGACTCAACTTCTCTCAGAGATTCAGTTACTGATTTTTCAAATGGTATATGTCTCAGAGGACTTCTGTGATGAATAGAACTAAATGAGGAAATGCCTTTAATATGGTTAACATGCTCATATAAGAAAGAATTAATGAAAAGTTAAATTCTATTTTTATTGTTAAATTAAATGATTTTCTACCATGCAATCAGTCATTATGGTAAGTAAATACAGAAGGAAACACTGCAATCCAGTCTCAAATGGGTCCCCTTGCTATTTAGTTGATATGCTATCAGTGAGTCTATTTTTAGCCTCTTTATTTCCTTCCAGAAAACAAGTCATCTCCACGTATTCTGATGCAAAGGGCATTCTCTACATTTACTCTTTTCTCCTCAAGTTTCCCTGGCATATACATTTCCTACTTTAATTGCCTCACTCATCAAAAAGTTGTCCCTCTTCTTGTCCAAGAATAACATTTCCATCTTGCCATCTGTCATCAAGCTTTCCCTCTTTCTCTTAGAAATGTGCTCCATCATACGCCTTCTCTGACATCTTTGTCTCTTTCTAATTTTGCTTTCCTAGTCTTTATTCTGGGGCTGACTGTCTCTGTCTCCCGTTGAAGGAACATTGTTGACCCAAAGCAACTTAATAAAAATACCTACCTTTTCCTCTAGTTTCTTCTTCTCCTCACTAAATTGACTTAATTTTTGTCTGAGACACTCATTGAGCTGTAAAACCTCTTTCTCAGTAGATGCAAGCTTTTGTTCCAGTTCCTCTTGTTGGGAATGAGACACTGACTGCTCTGAGAATGGAGTCTGGAGAGAAGTGTTCTCATATTGTTGCTATTAGGAAAGAAAAAAAGGCAGGTAAGACTTTAAGTTTCCTTGTTTTTGAGCAAATAGAAAGAAACTGGAACTGAGTTATTCAGAGTACACACAAACTTTAGCAACAGAAATGAAAACACTGCATTTTATACATTCATTAGATAGAGGTACGAATGTTATAGGAAAATAAATAACTAAAGAAAAATTTTTTCATAAGTGGTCATTTCCAGCTATTATTAAATTCATAAGTATTAATAGCCTGCTTCCCTAACTATAAAGTAAGGTGCATGAAAATGGGAATTTTTTTTTTTTTTTGCATCATACGGTGTCTGGCAGAAAATAAGTTCTCAAAAATTGCTGAATGAATAGAATGAATTAGACTAGAATATTGGAATAATAATAATAGAACATTACTACTTCTATGAGTATGGATTTAAAGGCAAATTTTCAAAGGAGAATATCCCCCAGAAAGACTAAAACCTAGAAGGGGAAGGCAGGAAATAGAAACATTCTTTACACACATGAAAATGTGATGAGTGCTATCAGAGATACCAACAAAGTACTGTGAAAGCAAAGAAAGGAATTTATTTCTCCATTTATTCAATAGGTATTTATTAAGTGCATATTTTAGGCACTATATCTGGTGCTGGGTATTCTATAGCTAACAAAACAAGGACCCATCAATTTAATGAAAAGACAACTAAAACTAAGCGCTAAGTTCTTTGTGTAGGAGTTTTCAGAAAGTGTTACAGACGTGACCCTGAAGTAGGCCTTGAAGAAATGATACTTTCCCAAAAGATAATCATGCGTGGTCATTAACCAATCAATTGCCCCCATCTAAAACTAGGGACTCATCCTCTCTCACTCACCACATTAAATAAATAACTAATGGACCATTTTCCCATGCTTGGTTGCACAGATGTCTAATAAACACTCTTCTCGCTGTGAACACTACCATTTTGAAATTCAGGTATTTAACTTTTGAACTATTGAGAGAGCTTCCCAGTATACCTGCCTCTATACCATCTTATCTTAAATCCAGTCTCCATTAGGTCACTGAGTAGCGAAACTAGGAAATTTTGAAGCATGAAAAACGGTGCTAATAACAATTATATTCCTACAACAGGCACTATTCTAAGCAAATCTGGGATAGAAGGGTCCTTTACTTCTCAGGTCTTTGATATCACTTGGCCTGTGCTTACCATTTCAACTACACCTTTCACCTTTACACTTCTCTCAATTTTATATTTCATCTACACAGAATAATTCACAGCTTTCCAAATGTACTAAATCCCATCATTCCTTTGGGTCTCTTCACATGCTATACACTATATAGCCTCAAATGCTATTCCTTCACCCTTTTCATCTGACTATATTTAGTTCATCAGGTTCTTAGATTAGAGATCACTTCCTGCAGGAAGCCTGACCTCACTATGAAGACGAGTTCATATTTCTGAATAGGAATTCCTACAGCATTTCCTATATAACACCTTTGGGCAACTCCAACATACTGCAATTGTCTGTTGTTTGTGTTCCCCATTAGACTGCACATTTGCTCCGATTTATACTACTAAAGACTAAACAGCACCTTAACCATAGATAAGAAAAAAATTAAGGAAATGCATAAGCTTTTTTTAAATATAGTTTTGTCTATGGACTTCGAGATCCAAGAAGATAGAAGTTGTTCCTCACTTTTGTGGCCTAGCATTTAACATATTAGATACTTGAATGTTTTACCAAATGGGCTTATTTGTAAAGGTAGAACTCAATTACAACGTGTTCATTATAATCAAAAGAATTAGAAAAAATCAAAAATCACTGAAGGAAAAATATGAATTTTAAAAATTATGTAAATGGAAAGAAAAAAAAGATAAAAATAGAAAAAAAAACACAAGAAAATGCATTAATGAAGTTAAATATTATTCAGTTGGTCTTTTCAAGGTACATGCCTCTAAGGGAAGAAAAGGCTTCTTTCTTCTTCAATTAATAAAAAGACGGACCAGCAGTTAGCATAATGACTATGTCGCTGAACTCCCATGTAGTCGACCGCAGTTCAAGTCCTGGACCCGGTGCCTTAAACTCATGCCAGGCGTGTGTGCGTGCATGCCCAAGATCCCAAGAGGAGAATGGAGAAGGGATTGCAACATGGCCATCCCCCCTGAGGAGTGATTTCTCACTTTCTGTCTCTCTGTTTCTCTCTGACTTTCTGGCGAGCACACGTGCCCTATAGCAAAAACCTCCCAATCAATCACTCAATCAATCAATCAATAGGAAAAGGGGCCCTTCACTTTTTTTTTCATGAAGGCCTATTATCCACAGATGGAAATTTCTTTTTTTTTTTTAGAGATTTTTGCTATAGAGTACATATGCTCGCCAGAAAGACAAAGAGAGACAGAGAGACAGAAAGTGAGAAATCACCCCTCCCCAGGGCACAGATGGCGATGCTCTAATTCCTTCTCCTCCGTACTCCTCTCAGGATCTTGGGCAAGCACGCACATGCGCCTGGTCTGAGTTTAAGCCATCGGGTCCAGGACTTGAACCACGGTCGACTACATGGGAGTCCAGAGACATAGCCATTATGTCAACTGCTGGTCCCCATGTCCAAATTTTTAATAAGCAGATGGAAGTTACTTTTCAAGAATGTTTTTCATCTACAAATTCATAAAAAAAGTTTTATTTTGAAAATTGATTTTATTTATTCTAGAATAAACAGAATATTAAAAGCATAATTTTCTTTGCCTAATTTACTACAACATAAAGTTGTTCATAGACTCAAGGTAAAAATTCCTTTGTAAGAAATATTTTCAATATCACGTTTGCTGTTCCTTCAAATCCCTGCCATTTTATCAGCTATCTACCAACAGTCTATCTTTATAATATTTGTCATGGCCATTTAGGATTTAGGATCTTTCTTGTATTCCAGTCTATGAATAGCTCTTATGTTTTAAGATAAAATTTCTCAACAGTACTTCAATTTTCCACATAATTCAAAATCCTTCTGATAATTTTAGCAACCCCTAGTCCAAATCCTCCCAGATAATTTTATCTGTCCTGCAGACTGAGTTGGAGAGCCCTCTACTGGACTGATACAGTATCAAAACTTTTTTTTTCACTCTGGATACCTATTTTTACATACTTTTGGTAATATGACAATAATTTTGCAATTCAACTAAAATATTCAGAAAGGCAAAATAACAAGAAGATTGAATGGTTCTACTTAAAATACTGTTAACAAAAGAAATTACACTACTTACCCAGCATAGAAATACCACTGAAAAATAACTGTGATGTTCATTTCAGTACTGTACCATAACATCTTGATCTCATATGACAGGAGTTAAAGCTAAGGCCCATGATAAAGAGTTATTCTAGGGACCAGCAGATGGCGTAATGCTTATGTCACTGAACTCCCACGTAGTTGACCACAGTTCAAGTCCTCGACCCAGCAGCCTAAACTCATGCCAGATGCACGTCCGTGCAAGCCCAAAATCCCGAAAGGAGAATGGGGGAGAACAGACTGCAAGCATGATCATCGCCCAGGGGATGATTTCTTGCTTTCTGTCTTTCTGTCTTTTCAGTGAGTGCACGAGTCCTACAGCAAAAATCTCTATTAAAAACAAAAAAAGCTATTCTGATGTATTAAGTGACTGAAGTATGCAAAGCAAGTGTGAATCTCTATGTTAAATGCTTCTGCATCAGGTAAATTCGATAGTTATTTGGTCTTTAATATTTCCTAATGTTAATATACCAATGCCTTTAATATTTATAAACAATATATTTGAATATATAATTAAGGGAAAATTTCCTCTTCAAATGATTTTTTTTAATTATTATTTAGAAATAAAGACCTTAAGAGGACAAAAACTTTTCCACAAACCTAAGTCTATACCATTACAAAGCCAGCAAGCCTCAGTTTTGATCCCAATAAAAATGTCAGCAGTACTTCTTTTTTTCCTTCTGGAAATAAGCGAATCAATTATAAAGTGTATATAGAAAAACATACAAACACGTTTTACAAAAAACTCTTAAAATAAAAATGATGGGGGCTGGTAAATGGCATGGTGGTTAGGATGTTGGACTCCCACATGGCCAACAGCAATGCAAGTCTCAGACCTAGAGGCTTGCTTCTCTCTCTCCTTCCCTTTCTCTCTAGTAAAATTTTAAAATAAATGAATTTAAAAAATTAAATTGAACGAGTAATTCTTAAAAAAGTAAAAAGAGTGATGTTTGGGGAAAGTAGCCCTGCCAGTCATATAAATGTGATTATAAAGCTTCGCAGATCCTGCGTGAGTGTGTTTTCATGAGTCTGTATTCTCTTTAGATCTCCTTAGGAACTGATCATAGTAGTTCCTATGATTAAGGCTGGGGAAGGGAATATGACCTGGATGGATGGATGGAAGACAGTAGTTGGGCACTTTTTACCACATATGGAAATATAAACCATATGAATGATTATCAATTCAAAAATTCATCACAATGCCCTAATCCTAAAAGCTAAGTGCATTAGTGGGGCCAGCAGGAGGTGTGGTGCCTAAGAGCACTGGACTCCCACATGTTCGACCGTAGTTCGAGTCCCAGGCCTAGAGACTTGCTTTCTCTCTCTCTCTCTCTCTCTTTGTGTCCCTCTCTGGTCTAATTAATTAATTAATTACTTAAATAAAAATAATTCTAAAAAAAAGCTAAGTATATTAGTAATACAAGCTTTATTAATAAAGCAACTATAAAATCTCTGCAGTCTTACCTGTAAACTAGCCACATAAGAATCCTCACAATTAACATAATGTCCTAACATGGCATGTTGAGCCCGTAATTCATTGTCCCTTATCCTCTCATGTAGGTGGGTAATTTGCTGCTTCTGTCTGCAAAACATAAATCGACATCACATAATAAAGAATATCTTAAGAGATAGCTAAAAACAGAAATTACAGTATTCTAATTATTTTACTTAAGAGTTTAAAAGTATTATCAATTTCATAAGTCGTAATAAGGAATTTTTTAAAAAATCACAGTACCACAAGACATGTGTAGTTATAGTAACTGTTTATGTAGAGTAATTCTGCCATTTTATATAGAATTTAGTCTTTTGTAGAAAACGTTTTTTTTAGAATCTAACAAAGTCATGCTTTGTCTTTTTTCTTCTTATTACATAACATAATAAATATTTCATACTCAGTCTGGAATACCATTACCTTAAAATCATTATGTTCATGCATCCAAATTATGCTCATCATGTTAAATCAATAGAGGTATTTGAGAATTTCACTGGCAGGGATGAAAGGTATTTTTATAAAGATCATGCAGCCTCACCTCTGTTGTATGCCTGTAACTTCTGTATACCATCTCAGGTTGCACTGTCTACATACTTACAACACTAGAGAACTCACTCAATTCACATCTCTGAATAGCTTTGACATTTCATTAAATAATATCACCTCATGTTGGAACCAGACATACTGAAGTTCAACCCTTTCTGCAGCAGTTCATAATTTACTTTAATCAAGTCATTTAACTTCTTAGAGTTAAACCTTTTAAACTACATGTGACAGGCCTGATACTAAGAATTTTATACACAGTATCTCTCATCTTTAAAAATTTAATAAGTCTCATAGTAAAGTTTATAGGGAGTAAGAGCTTTTAAGAATTAATAAGGTGGGGTGGGTAAAAAATAAATTAATAGATTGTTATTTTCCAAAATTACTTACAACATAACTTTTGGAACAAGCTAGGTTGTATGTTGCAAATTACACTAAAGAGCTTGTTCAACTAGAGTAGTCATTATCTTGGTATCTTTTAAGAAAATTCAAAGAGAAAACACTAAATGGGAAGTAGGTAAATTAGGAGAGATTAGTTATATAACAATTTTCAAATGATTTAGAGTCTATAAAGAAAACTTCCTTTTCTAGTCAGGACGGCCTCAGGATCCTACCAACAAGAAAGCCCTTACTGTATGTGGCCCCTGGACCTTGAGTTGGGCAAGCTTCTATTAAATTACTCATTCAGGTATTTTCTGTTATTAGCAACAGCACAGACTACAACAGGGTCCATCTCAAGTAAATGAAATGTGCTACAAATTGCCATGAATAAAATTTCATATATTATAATTAATCAAATCTGTGGAGTTTGGAATACTCCTAATAACTATGATGAAAGAGGTCAGCCTTCCTTTAGAAAATGTGATCATGTGACCAGCAGTGGCATAGTGGCTTAAGTGTTGGACTCCCACACAGCTGACTGTAGTTTGAGTCCCAGACCTGGCAACTTGAAAATCACACTGGGTGTGTGTGCATGCATGCCCAGAATTCCAGGAGGAGAATGTATGGTGTGGCTATCTCCCCTAGGGGGTGATTTCTCTCTTTCTATTTATCTCTGGTGAATAAATGTGCCCTGTGGCAAAAATCTTCAAAAAAAAAAAAAAAAGAAAGAAAGAAAAGCAACTTTGATTGTAAATACTATCTTGTAAAGGAGATGAATTAGAAGGACATTATGGGATCAGCTAGTGGTGTGGTGGTTAAGGTGGCTGGATGCCACATGGCCGACCGTGCAGTTCCGGTCCAGAACCAGTGGCTTGAAAAATGCCCTGTACATGTGTGAGCAATGCCCAAATCCTAAAGGGAGAAATGAAGGATTGTAGCATGGCCATCCCCCTTGGGGGTGCTTTCTCACTTCCTCTCTCTTGTTTCTTTTTGGCAATCATACATGCTTTCTAGCAAATTAAAAAAAGAAGAAGATATTATGAATTCAAATAAATAAGTATTCACATTATACCAAAGAATTCATTACTGATTTAAAAAGCCTATCTTGCCTACCATATACAGTTAAATGAGAAGCTTATAAGCTTCAACATAACACAAGCTTTACTAATAAAGCAACTATAAAATCTCTGTAGTCTTACCTGTAAACTAGCCACATATGAATTCTCAATACTTACATAATGTGAGTTGCAGGTAATAACAAAATGAGAGTTCACTTCTATAACACCAATGTTGTCTACTAAAGGTACGAAGTCAGTTATCAGAGGTTCAAACCATTATAAGAACTACCGGCATGACAAATAGCAAAGTTAAACAACAACCTTAATCTCTTTTCTACTAAAAATTCATTCAGAGGTCGGCAGGTGGTGTGCTGGTTAAGGTGCTAGACTCTCAAGTGGCTGACCCTGGTTTGAGCCTCAGGCCTCACAGCTTGAAAAACACACTAGTTACATGTGTGAGTGTGCCCAAAATCCCAAGAGAAGAATGGAGAAGAAGGGAATGCAGCGTGACTACTACCCTTGGGGAGGGGGGGTGATTTCTCATTTTCTCTCTCTCTGTCTCTGGCGAATGCACACATCCTATGGCCCAAAACCCCAAAATTAAAAACTACAATCGTTCAGAAAGCTACTTCTTCTGAATGAATATTTGGTGAGTACTTACTATGAATAAGGAAATGTACCAAGAAAGGGTATCTTCTGTGAGGAAGCTGAGTCTATTGCACATAAGCATAACCATTACCTATATAAAACATGCATGTGACTACCATTTGCCAATGGCTACATGCATTAGGCAGTATAGTAGGCTCTTTTACATACATTTATTCATGTAATCCTCATGCTATAATATGTCAGTGGAGAATGCAGGTAGCTTAAAACAGTGATCTTTTTAAAAATGTTCATTTTTGTTTAAGTGGTGAAACTCTTTACCCACTCAGATAAGTAGATCAAAGTGTAAAAAGCAAAAGATGTTACTCAGGATCAACCAAGTGGTTATGGGAGCAAATACAAAGACTGAGAATCCAGGCTTCCTGTTTTTTCTGACTTTTTTTCTCAAAACTAATCTACATGCCTTTTCTGATGTGTTGGAGTGCATCTAAGAACAGTTTCAATACAGCTTTTTTTTCCCAAATATGTACTCTGCGTGACCTATCAAGTCTTCTATTACAAATGTTATCTGTAATGTGAAAAGAAATATATTTTCTCATGAAATTATGGGTCACTCTATATTTTCAAAAATAATAGGGACCAGCAGTTAGCATAATGGCTATGTCACTGGACTCTTACATAGTCGACCGTGGTTCGAGTCCTGGACCCAGTGGCATAAACTCACACCAGGCACTTGTGCATGCATGCCCAAGATCCTGAGAGGAGAATGGAGGAGAAGGGATTGCGATGTGGCCATCCCCCCAGGGGGTGATTTCTCACTTTCTATCTCTCTGTCTCTCTCTGTCTTTCTGGCGAGCGCACGTGCCCAATAAGAAAAACCTCTCCAAAAAAATAAATAGATAAATAATATATAGCCTATAATTTTAGTTAAGTGACTTGAAAGGTATCATTAACACATCATATCCCAGAGTAAAATGCTCAGCATCTTCACTCTTGGTTCTATTCAAGAGCAAATACCATCAATTCTATCTTTGCAATAGTCTCTGCATGTCTCATCAACATTTTAAAGGCAATGAGTCTGATCTACTTCTTCCATAGAAGAAATGGTACATATCTGGTTCTAATTTTAGATGCTATATAAGTTAGAGAGATTGTTATATAAAAACTTTTTTTTAATTTTAAATACTAGTTATATTGTTTTAGAAACAAAAACTGCTGATTTCTCTTCCACTGCTTTGTACAATATCAAATGTATTGGTCATCAAAAAATTTTATAATAAACTTGTGACCACCAGATGGCATAATGGTTATGTCACTGGACTCCCACATAGTTGACTACAGTTCCAATCCCAAACATGGCAGCTTGAAACTCATGCTGTATGTATGTATGTGTGTATGCATGCCCAAAATCTGGAGAAGAGAATGGAGGAGAAGTCCTGAAGTGTGGCCATACTCCCAGAGTGGGGGCTGATTTCTCACTTTCCGTCTCTCTCTCTCTGTCTCTCTGGTGAGTGCACATGCCCTATAGGAAAAATCTCTCTCTCAAAAGTAATTATAATAAACTCAAGAGAAACCCAAATTAGTTAAAGTACTAGATGTGGTAAACTGTTTACCAAAATGCCCACAATTATTACCCTTCTAAATAATGAATATGTCTTTACAATGTGACCTTGTTGTTCCTGCTGTCCAAAGCAAAGTCTACTGACCTTGTGACCAACAGAATAAGTGCAAGTGATGATGGGCCAGTTCTGAGCCTAAGCCTCAAAAGACTTCACATGCTTAATTTTCTCTTAGAACCCCACTAGCCACCACACGAACAACCCCAGGCTAGCCTGCTGGAGGGTGGAAGACCACATGGAGTAAAATTGAGCAGCCCAACCTCAGGCCATGCTAGCACCCACCTGATGTGTAGTAGATGCATCAATGAGTCTAATTAAAGAATTGGCCAACTGAACAACTGTAACTATTTTGGGTTATACCATAGTCAATCTTCTGCAATATACATAATTGAGAAATACATTTTTAATAGATTATGTCAATAAGTACCTGCATTTCCTACTGATTTAAACTCAATAGAATGGTATTCAAAAAATAATAAAAGTCAATTGATATTGATCGTTTGAGGGGAAGCAAATCTAGAGTATGACTAGAAGTCTAAACTTTGACTTATTTAAACAATATATTAATTTCAAGTATGTACAGTGAATCAAGTTAAAAGTATTAAAAATATACATCTAGCTGGGCCCATAATTATCCATATATAAGATTCACTTATAGTATGAGCAGCTAATATTTTTAAATAGCGTTTTCCTAAAATCAATTAAAACCATGTTCTATAATTTTCACTGATTTATTAAGTGTGAAAGTATCAAGTTTTAAGCTTATACTATGTGCCAGGCTCTAATCAAGACATAGAGAACATAGCAGTGAAACAGAAAGTCCAGATGTCTATGGTCTGGTTTATGCTATCACAGATCTCATTTAATACTGTTAAATTTCTAAGCAAAACCTTTTGAAATTTCAACTACTGAATTTGTTTAAAGGTTGAATTAGAATTTAATTTTATGGCTAAAATGTCTATTACCTTATCGCATAAAAGCACATAAAAATATGCGATAACTTCCACTAAGGAAAAAAGTGTCCTTGAACTACTTCCCAATTACCATGATACACAACGCATTATCCTAAAGCATACGTAAATGATGTAGAACCAATATCTATCAAAGATAAATATGAGTAAGTAACATTAAAGTTTATAGCTCAGCATAATCAAGAGACTGTGCAAGTCTATTAAATGTAAGTGAATTTCCTTCTCTGAGCTTTGATATTCAAACATACAAACATTTTCAAATGTCCTAAAAAAAAGCTTCCATAATATGTGTCTATGTCATTTAATCTTAAACAGTCTTCATAATTTCTGTGGCTTCCCATGTAATATATGCTAGTTAAAGGAAAACACTACTTTAAAGTAGCTTTCAAAGTTGATGATTCTCCAGTATAAAACAGACACTGTCATGTAGGTCTGACAGTTCATTAGCACTGTAGCCAACCTGCAAGCGGGTATAGAGGAGACAGGAGCTGGAAATGAGTCATGATAAAGTGAATGAGGAAAATGACAGAAGTCAGACACAAACCAACCCTCACTGTGATAGGAGTTCTAGGAAGGATGGGTCCTGAGGAGGTGTAGACAGGTGGCATCAATATATTTGTAAGCCTCTATCCTTAAACTCTAAGTAGTTGATGCAAAGGTAACTGTTTCATTGATCTACAGTTTTGTGTGCCTGACATATTTAATAATTAAAAAGAAACTCACCGATCAATTACAATTTCCTTCTGCCGTAGAAGTCCTTCTTTTATCTTCAGCACTGATTCCCACTTACTGAAATCCTGATAGCCAGAAGGTGAGTAACCCTGACGAGATGATCCAGTCAAAACCTGCACAAAAATGTTTGTATTAATAGTACACTAAAAGTGTCTGAAGAGAATATTTATATACCCCCTAATATTTTTCCAGTCTCATTAAAAAAAAAAAGAGTTTTCTCTCTTGAAATTTTTTAAAGACTGAAATCGCACTTGTGAATAGAATGTAACTTAAACAATTTTGAGGTCGTTCTAAAGTAAACACACAAGTCTAAACAATGGGTGACAATAGGACATTTAACCTGCCTAATTACAATACTATGTGCAAGATCTTATTCCCATTACCCTGTAAAAATGGAAGCTTTCTGGAAATAAGAGAGTAATCATTTCTAAAGAATGAGTCCAATAAAGGAATGCACCATGGCTCTACCAGAGAAACATTACCAGAAGTGTTTCCACAAGAAAATAGAGGCATTATCTGTAATATTCAGACTTCAAAACATCATGCATCATATCAATAAATGAAAATTTCCGAATCACAAATATTTTCACAAAGTAGTAAATACATTCACAGAAAATTTGAATGATAACTGGTCTCTGTGTAAATTACATCACTTAGAAATTTTTCCATTAAAAAAACTTTTTAAATATTTAAAATAAATTGACAATAAAAAACAATATAGAAAACATTTTCACATATCACTTTTTAAAATACTGTTGTCATAATCCCAATTGTGTCACCTCAAAAAGATATGTTGTCCTAACTGCTAAGTACCTGAGAAAGTGACCTTATCGGGAACAAGCGTGTTTGCAGATGTACTTAAAATAAGGTCATCATGGTGTCCTTATAGAAAAGGGAGACATGAACCCACTCACAGAGGAAATTTTATGTGAAGAGACCCAGAAACAATGCCATGTGAAAATAAAAGCAGAGATTGGAGCAAGTGTACAGACTCTATAGCCACATGCCAGACTGTCAGTAGATCACCACAAGCTGGGGGAGAGGAATGGGACAAAGTCTCCTTATAGTGTTTAGAGGAAACCAATTCTGCCAACGCCTTGATTTTCAACTTCTAATTTCCAGAACTGACACAACAAATCTCTCTTGTTTAAACTATCTATTGGGGGGAACCAGCAGTTAGCGTAATGGCTATGTCGCTGGACTCCCACGTAGTCGACCGCGGTTTGCGTCCCGGACTGGGTGGCTTAAAACTCACGCCGGGCGCGTGTGCGTACGTGCCCAAGATCCCGAGAGGAGAATGGAGAAGAAGGGATTGCAGCGTGACCATCCCTCCTGGGAGGTGATTTCTCGCTCTTTGTCTCTATGTCTCTCTCTGTCTGTCTGGCGAGCACACGTGCCCTATAGCAAAAAACCTCTCCAAAAAAAACCTATCTATTGGGACCAGCAGATGGGATAATGGTTACATTGCTGGACTCCCACATAGTTGAACGTGGTTAGAGTTCCAGACCTGGCAGCTTAAAACTCACACCAGGAGAGTGGGCATGTGTGCCCAAAATCCTGAGAGGGGAAGGGATTACAACGTGGTCATCCCCAAGGAGGATGATTTCTTGTTTTCTGTCTCTCTAGTGAGCACAAGTGCCCTACAGCAAAAAAATCTCTCTAAACTGTCTTGCTGGGAGTACTTTGTATGGCAGCCCTAGGAACCCAATGCATTTAGTAAATCAAATAAGGACATAAATTCCTTGACAAGCTAAATGATGACATATGAACATTATAAACCAATGTTAGGAGAGTTCAAATGTGCAGTACTACTTTTATCCTCCATTTTCCAAAGATGCTACTGACAAAGGCCTACTTCTGAGTAAAACACTTATGGTGTGACATAAACCAGTCTTAGATTAACTCTTTAAATGAAAATGATGGTAAAGTATTTTTAAGATAAGATGTTTTGTCCAAGAAATAGAAAAAATGGGAAGAATAGCCTAAGAACAAAAAATCAGTTGATAACAGGGTACATAACTTTATCAAATGGGGAAAAGAAAATTGAATGTAAATGATACATAGTGTTATAGAAACAGGTTAGTCAGAAATCCTGCCTCTGAATTTCATTCTTTCCCTCGCCTATCAGAAAATAAGGGCTGATATTCAGTCAGTATGCACCAGCACAGACATGTTACTTGTTAAGGTACTGAAGTACTCTCACTGTGGCTGCTAACCAAATACTGTCCAAACCCACTGACTGTCTCCTCCATGCCCAGAATGACCCATAATCCAACAGAGTTACTTTCTGGAATAAAAAAGGCCCTTCAGAACCTTTATCTATAAATATCATCTTTGATTGGCTGGTTCTTACACAAGTCAGTCCTCAAATATTCCCAGCTAAACACTAACTACCAGCTTACATTTAGGTGACAGAACCAGGATTCAAGACCAGGCAGCCCAGTAGGGAGAATCTACTCTTTTCTTTTTTTGAGAGATTTTTGCTATAGGGCGCATGCACTCTCCAGAAAGTCAGAGAGAGACAGAAAGGCAGACAGAGAAAGCAAAAAATCATCCCCACGGTAGATGGCCATGCCGCAATCCTTTCTCTATTCTCCTCTCGGAATCTTGGGCACACATGCGCCTGGCATGAGTTTAAGCTACCGGATCTGGGACTCGAACTGTGGTTGACTACATGGGAGTCCAGCGACATAGCCATTATGCTAACTGCTGGTCCCCAGTGAGCACCCACTCTTAAGTATCATGTTGTTACACTGTTTCTACTAAGGCAAATTTAATTTAATTTAATTCCAAATTTTGCATGATCACACAGGTTAGAAAATCTTTTGGAAGTAATTGCTCTTAGTGGCTAAGAGAAGATTCAGCACTATAAGCACTGTTGTTGATAGTAAGAGAAATCCTCCATTTATCAAAACTCCATGCTGTCTGATGACTACCAAATTTAGTATGTAAGTCATTTAATAAAATTTCTTTTGTTAAACTGTGATTCCATCAGAAATTCATCAAATCAGGGGCTGACAGGTAGCATGGTGGTTAAGGGGCTGCACTCTCACATGGCCAACCCATAGTTAGAGTTCTGGAGATGGAGACTTGCTTTCTCACTTTTCCTCTCTCTCCTTCTCTCATTCTGTCCCTCTCTGGTTAAATTAAAAATAAATAAATAAAGTTAAATAATTCTTTAAAAAAAATTCATCAAATCTAGTAAAAACAAAATAAAACAAAAGATCATATAAATAAACCCAAAAATCCACTTAAGATCTGTAAATAATTATAATAGTGTGGTGAATCATCTGTGAAAAAATTTTCTATGTTAACATTTCATTTATTGGATGCTAAAATGAATCTATTATTTTAAATCCTAATACCAGCTGACATATATTTTACATATTAGCTTTTGTATATTGTTATCACACTTAAAAAAAAAAACTTCTAAGGTAGAATAAGGATCACCTTATACTTTTTTTCTTTCTTTCTTTTTTTTTTTTTTTTTTAGAGATTTTTTTGCTGTAGGGCATGTGCACTTGCCAGAGACAGAGAGACAGAAAGTGAGAAATCACCCACCATGGGGATGGCTATGCTACAAACCCTTCTCCTCCATTCTCCTCTTGGGACTTTGGCCATGTGTGCATATGCACCCAACATGAGTTTTAAGTTGCTGGGTTTGGGACTCAAACCATGGTCAACTATATGAGAGTCCAATGATGTAACCATTACACCATTTCTGATTACCACCTACCACCAATGATCTGTTTGTTATTTGAAGCTACGTTTCTATGCATTTTGCACCTATTTCAATAAGACAAATGCACAGGCAAATGATCTCAAAAAGACAGTACCACTCCTTCACTTTACAATAAGTCAACTGCCAAAAAATTTTCCCATGACTGACAATTCCTTTAAGGAGAAGCCCTTTCTTTTTCTTTCAACACTTCTTGGCATAAAAAGAAAGAAAAAAAGAGGAATTGAACAAGAGGAACAAGTAGGTGTGCAAGCAAAAGGCAACTGACAACACTACTTGGTTTTATATCACTTGAACCACTGGCAAGATGGATGGTTAAAAGTGCTTGCCAAATACTTCCAAGAATGTACACAAAACAAGAGAATTTACCTTTTTTATCTCTTTTCATCTACAACCTTAGGAACAAAATTGAATAAAAAAATTAAACTATTAAACTAAGCAAATAAGAACAAAAGATGTCTTCCTATTATTAAGATATAATATACAAAGAATTACAAAATCAGCAGCAATCTTCTTTATGACAGTCTTCCTTACTAAACGTCAATCCTGACTCATAAAAAGTTAAAAGGAAGAACAAAACATGACACACAGCCAAATGCTACACATGGATTTAAAAGCTTATTTTTTATTAAAAAAAAATTACCAGAGAGCTTATTCACTCGCCAGAGAGATGGAGACAGAGGAAAAAAAAAAACAGGGGAATGAGACAGTATCTCACAAGGTGGTATATATAGTCATGACTCAATCCTTTCTCTTCCGTCTCTCCACCCTGTTGTGACCTTAGGCACGTATGTACATGTACCTGGTATGTTTTTCAAGCAGCTGAGTCTGAGATTGAAATTGCACTATTAACCATGTGAGGTCTGTCTCCCTTAACCAATAGGCCACTGGGCCAGCCCTGAAAGTCCTTTTTCAAAGTTGTTTATTTCTATCTGTCTCTAAAAATGATAGTTAAGGAGGAATTTTGCCTTCTTTTAAAAAAAATTACAGAATTATTTTAATTTCATTCATAATTGCTACCTTTTTAATTTGGCCAGAGAGAGAGAGAGAAAGAGGGAAAAATAAAAAGCAAGCCACCAGATCCATGACTTTAATCATGGTCAGCCATGTGGGAGTCCAGTGCCTTAACCACCACACCGCCTGTCAGCCCAGTATTTTACCTTCTAACAACTTTTATGAGGCGGTAGCCTTTACTAGATTAAGTGAAGATAAGAATGCAGTTTGAAGCACCTAGTAAAATTCAGAAGGAAAGATTATAACGTAAAATCTCCAACAGCAAGGCAGCCTTTGTACAGTTATGATATAAACAACTGCTGTATGACTAAAGACATACAGCAAAGGAAGAATCTGATGAAAATTTATTTTTACTATAAA